GGTGGGACAAACACCATTGTTTTGAATATTGTGTATGTGTGTTAGGACAATATACAGTACTAGGGCAGCACAATATTGGACAATTTTGAAATATCACAATGTGATTGTACTGTAAAGCAAAAACTTTCTCACAAAATAATCTATGAGTGATTTAAACAGCAATGAAAATGACTGATTGTCTGGAGAAAAATTTTGTATGTATCATTCAGCACTGGTAAGTGTTTTCGACGCAGGGCATGGTGCAGGCAGAAAAAGAGGGTGACGATCCACTTGTGGCTCCAATAGACAACAGGGCTTTATTCGTAAAAACCAAAATGGACACTGGTGGAAAAGCACCAAAACAAAAGGACCACAAGGGGTCAGAAAAGAAAACAGGAAAAATGCTGAATTAACTAAAACCAAGAAACAAAACACAACTAAGGAATTAAGAAAAACACTGAGTACAGCACACTGAGTACAGCACACTGAGTACAGCACACTGAGTACAGCACACTGAGTACAGCACACTGAGTACAGCACACTGAGTACAGTACAGGAACAAACACACTAACATTTACAAGAATAACCAACTAGAGAACAGGGTGGATGCAGGCTCTTAAATACACAAAGGAAATAAGGGCAAGCAAGGGGCAGGTGTAACTCAATAATGAATTAACCAATTAGGGAAAAACAGGAATGAGAAACAGGTGGAACTACTTAACCAAGATGAACACAGAACTAGGAGGATTAGACATACTCTGGCACTGGGACTAAAAGCAAAGTGAATCAATTACAAAATCAAAAGGTACAAAACAAAACTAGAACAGAACAGAAGGGTGAACCAAGTGCCGGAATTAAGACACAAAATAAACACTCAGGAACAGAAAACTAACAAATGCACATAACAGGTGAGGCTGGTCACTGGTTGGCCTCAAACCCAAGACTTGAGAGTGTTAGAACCACACACTCAACCCAGTGAGCTAAGTGGCAGTCCAGGCAGGAGGGTTAGACACACAAGGATTATCAGACAAGGAATGACAAGACGGGATGACCAGCAACACCTGCTGGCCAAACGGGGAAGAGACACAAAGGGCAGGATCAGACAGGCGCTGATCCTGACAACCAATTTCTACTCCAGTGGAAAACAAGCACCTTGAAGTACCGTACTTTTGGTACTTTCTTAAAGTACCAAGAATATGGTTCCTGGTGCAGTGGAAAAGTGCCTTTGATTTTGTCAACATGATAACGCGAAAAATATTTGGCTGATCTTTCCTGAACTTTTCAGGCACATTTTCTGTGACACTTTGGACCTGTAAACTTAGTAGTGATTAGTGACAGTAAAGAGGCTTATCCTTGTGAACATGATTAATCTATTTATTATTTATTCTGTTTACCGAAATGGAAGTCCGGAGCAGTAAGTACAGGGGAACTACATAAAACTGCTTTGACGCCTTTAAAACATACTGACATTTAGAGAACTAGGTAAAAGACCAGGTGAAGCAAAAGTGATTAAAGGGGAATCCACAGCGACAAATTTCCTGCAAAATCCCCAATAATATTCCAGCATTCCCAAGAAGCATCTAAATTCGCGTTTTGTGGAGGGCACCGGAATTTTGGCATCAACATGACAAAACTATACCTTTCACATTTTGTCACATTTTTCTTAGTTGAACAGTTGAAACATTTTCTGTAGGTTTTCCAGATGTTCCGTCCAGGTACAAACCACAACATTGTTCAAATAAGCTGCACAATTATTAATCCTACACAGAACTTGACTGTTTAATGCTGGGGCATGTTTCATGTTCTGGTTATTTTGCTTTCTGTTTTTACTAACTTCACATGAACTGAATAAAAAACAAAAAGCATTTAATGATTCACCTAATTTGCAATATTCACAATATCACAATATTGGATTCACGATTTTTCCCATGTTATTAAAAAAATTATAATAATTTAAATACATGAAGATAATTTTATTACAAAACAAATGTAACATACATTTTTCCTATTCCTTATCAACTTACATATCTTTCATTTTTGTAATAATCAACAATAATATTTATTTGTAAAGTGTTTAGTTAATGTAATAACCTATTAACTAAAATATTCCTTTTATCATAAATGAAAAAAGTTAATAACATAAAGCCCTTTCCTTAACAATTCTGCCATTCTGGAGTGTTTCTTCTGCAGGCTGCGTTAGTTGGTTGCCGGTAGGGGGGCCAGTTATTCTTCTCCTGTTGAATCAGTGCAGTTCCAGCTAAGAAAAACAGATTATGCAGCCCAATAATAATCTGAGCTATTTCAAGATTCCATTTTTTTAATTTCCATGATTCGAATCATCATAAATTTGCACCACGATTTATTGGGTAATGCTTTACATTAAGTGCACCTTCATAATGCATTCATAATGCCTTCATAGAACATTCATAAGCAGCATGCAAGTACACCTTGGGTTTCATCATCATCATCATCATCATCATCATCATCATCATCATCATCATCACCTTAACATCCTAACATCCCTTAACAGCTTTAATATACATTGATAACAAACATTACACGATTATACAATTATAATGTTTATTATTGTATAATATTTGTTATTAATGTATATTTCAGCTGTTAAGGAATGTTAGGATGTTAAGGTATACATGATTTTTATGAATGTTTTACGAATATTTAATGAAAGCATTATGAAGGGTGTACTGAACGATTTATGAATGCAATATAAAAGCATCATGAAGGTGCAGTTAATGTAAAGCATTACCATTTATTGTCACACAATATATTGTTACATACCTATATAGTAATACCTATATAATAATCGCAAAAGATTTCTGTGGAGTGATATGATTTAACCCAGTTCCTATTGATCACAGTCTGTCGCCCCAAGGACCCCAGGGCAGTGGAAATGAGCGTGGGCGGTCTGACATCATTCAGGAGCCTTTGGTGCGCCACGTATCAAGCATCAATCTATAACTAGTAACCACCTACATTGCTGCTCTTTCTCTACTCAGATGAATCGGTCATATTTTTAAAGGCTTGCGACAGTTTCCCCCTCCTCTGACCTGTATATTTTTAGGTACCACTGGAACTTTTCAAAGCTTTCTAACGTACTTCCTTGCATTTTCCCACCATAAATATTCACCACACTCTTTGTTAACTTGGTTCTGTTTCATTTAATATATGATGTTCGACATTGTATTGTTATTACAGTGGTATACAATCATTTGTTGCAACTATAAATAGATCAGAGCAATGTAAGCACAGGATACTATTTACAATAAAATGTACAATACTGTTTAAAAATCTTAGGTGGTTAAATAAAAAGTTTAAAGCTATTTATCTAGGTAGTAAGTGTATATTAACTCAAAAAACACAATTTAAAATCATAACATTTGCAAATTACCACAATAAAAAACTATCAATTTTTTTCTGTTGTCCAAAAAGTTACCAATATCTTGTTGGACGGCTATAAGAACACCACTTCAGTTCCTGAACCTCTCCGCAGGGGCACCAAACCATTTCACCCCCAGCTTGATTGATTCATTGATTGATTCATTGATTGATTCATTGATTGATTCATTGATTGATTCATTGATGGGTTGATTTATTTTCTGATTGCTTTGATTAGTTAAATAACTCACTGAGGTGTTGATTAGCCAAAACAAGGTGTCCAGTGCTCAAGCTTAAAAATACATGAGTGTATTGAAAAGTTGCAGCAAATTCTTAGGAGACAGTGAAGGTTCTGCAGTGGCTGCGCTGACATGTTTTGACAGAGATAAATTAAACTTAATTTTCTTTGACTGCCTAAAACCTTCGCTCAGTACTGTAAATGTAAATCTAAATGGAGAACATGGATTATTTTTAATTGCATTTTATTTCCCCCTCTTTCTATATTGTGATATTTTGTGAATTGATATACAGCCCCGGAAAAAAATTAAGAGATCACAGCACAATTTTTTCTCTCATTTCTCAATTTATGGGTGTGCATCTGTGAATAATGTTTTTTTTTCTTCTGCAAACTGCAGCCTGGTTTTTCCCTGCTTCTCATTGATAAAGGGCTTCATCCTTGCTTTATGGGACTTCAATCCTGCTTCTAGCAGCATGATACGCACTGTCTTAGCAGTGCACTTCACACCTGCACTTAATGTTTCCCATTCCTTTTAAAGGTCACTTGATGTCATCCTATGATTCATGAGAACCTGTTGGATAAGCTAACGGTCATCTCTGGCATTAGAAAGTCGCTTCTGCCCTTCACCTGTTTGGCTTCTGGTCGTTCCCAGTGTCTCCTGCTTCACCTTATTCTTGTGTACTGCTGTCTTAGAAATTTTGAACCTTGAAGCATCCTGATGCTCAGCATAGGCTTCTGACAGCAGAACTGGAATTAAATCGGGATTTAAGAATGCAAATGAATTATAGAGTGTTCTCTTAATTTTTCTCTTCATATCAGAATTATATTTAAAGTATACTAAGTAATGGCCACATTATAATATCTGATTAGCCATTCTGGAGTAGAACAAAAAGATTAATTATTTTCTCAGCCAGTGAAAATAAAGAAAACACAAACCTTTGTTTGAAATGGAACTACTATAATATATTATGCTATCATTTAGCTGACAAATTATATTCACATTACAGTCATCATTACTGCCCTCAGCAGTTTATGGTTGGCTGGCTTTGAATGTTTCGCTCCTCGATTGGGTATCTTGATGGTCCAACCCAAAAGCCCTGTTGTGTTAGGAGGAAATATATTCAGAATCCCACCAAACACCCCCCCCCCAATTTGGAATTCAGGTAGTCAGCTCTGATGACAGTTTCAGGTAGTTTGCTGTTACACATGCCAGGGTGCAACTGACATCTGCTGGTCTGATTAGCCATAAGCATGATAAAACATAAAAACATTGACAATGTTCCTGTTTTGGCTTCTATTGGATATTTTGTACTATCTGCATATATAATCAAGAAGAAGTAGTTTGCTATACCACAGGAATATTCTGAACTTAATTTCTTTCCCACAGATTCTTCTTGAAATTCTTCCTCAAGTGCAATCAGAATTGTCTGAAAAATGCGGGGAACCCAAGGGACATGCGAAGATTTCAAGTAGGAGTCTCCTCTTCATTTTAATGGCTTCATGGCAAACCAGACCAGGAACCACTGGTGGATAACAAATGTTCAAAGCCATTTGTTTAAGGAGGCCTGCTTTTCTATAATAAAAACTTAAGTCAAAGGAAATGAATTAAGCGTGATTTTTCCACCACAGTAGGCAAAGATCAGAATATTGCAGGTGCAGACTTGCAAAAATGTTGCTGACTCTCCATTGGCTGGTTTGCTTGTCTTGTCTTTTGACATAATTCCCAGGGCTAAGCCTGTGATTTTCCTCAGGTGGTGGTGTCCACGACTCTTAACGTGGACGGCCATGTCCTTGCCGTCTCAGACAACATGTTTGTGCATAACAACTCCAAGCACGGCAGGAGGGCCAGACGTGTGGACCCATCTGAAGGTTTGTGTCTTCCAGTTAACTGCTTGGGAAGGCCAAGAGCCAGTCTTATTCCCCCTTGTTTCTGACTCATTTATGTTTAATTTTCCAGTTTTGGAAAATTGGTCACTGTTTAACCAATAGTGCCTAAGTTAAACCTAAACCTATTGAATATTAGCAGTTTCAGCTGGTGCAGAGAAAGGACACAGAAAGCCTAGTATGTCTTTATAAAATCCATGGTAATAAGTCTTTTCTCTGGGAATTTGTACTTTTTATTTGATCAGTGCATTCTGTGTGCTTTCAAAGACTTTTTTGCTTTATGCTGAGTTAAAAGATAACCCTGAAAATCTGTTTAGGGGCTTTAAAACTAAGCATACAGTCATGGAATTGTGTATATATTGCATGCTTCTGAAAAAAAAGTTCCGCATTAATAGAGCAGGATAAATCGTCGTATTTTGAAAGGACTTCAGACGTTGATAATTGATTGCAATTCTTTTTCATGTAATTTCAGTGCATTTGTGCTCTTTTTCTGAGTAGCAACAAGTTCTGGTTTCTCATTGCTTACTAACCAACATTTACTTTAAGGCTAAATTCCTCCTGTCTCCATTCCATCTTCATTTTCTGCCCTCTTTGACGAGTTGTCCTGGTGAACCAGAATGATCAATGGATACAGGATCTATTGATATGTTCTCTAATGAGCTGTTGTCACTGTGTATTTCTAGACAAAAATCAATTTTGATAAGTCTGCATATGGGATTGCCATCTGCGTGTCTGTATGATTTTAAGTAGTGTGTACTGGTGAAATAGCTGAGAGGTGTAATATTTAAATATTAAATCGAGTTAAGATCAAAATCAGAGCCTATTGCTCTTTGATATTATGTCCACAGGACTGGAGTGGTGAAATTGGCTTATTACACATTGTAACAAGCATGAACGTGCTGTGGTGTTTCAGAAATGTTACTAGTCTGGGTCATTGAAATCCCATCAGCTTAGGTATAAGACCTGCATGACAGATTGGAAACGATAGATCAAGTTCACTGTGTATTTGGTTAGATGACCGATATAGTCACTCCTGTCACCTGTGTCTTCAAAGCAGCAACGCCGTGCATTAAAGCCATCAGTCCCAGTGAGGGCTGGACAACAGGAGGTGCCACCATCATCATCATTGGGGACAACTTCTTTGATGGGCTGCAGGTGGTCTTTGGAACGATGCTTGTGTGGAGTGAGGTGAGTTATATTGTGTGACAACAAACTTCCAGGGTAAGGGATGCCCTTGGATCTAGCTGAATTCAGTATACGGTCGACCGTCCTGTATCGTGACTCGCCCCATCGCGATTTCGAGATATCGCCAGATCGACATAAGAAATGAAATGGAAAAGAAATTAAAAGGCTTTTCCAGAAGCAGCAGATGAAACGCAAATGTTAGCAACTGGCATACAAAAAGTATAGTAACTCATAATTGCATATAAAATAATAATGCCAGATGTGTTTACGGCAGCCTCTCACACGAAATCTCTCAGTGATCTTTGTATTTTGCGTTTCTTTTCATCCTTTCACTTTGCTCCTCTCTGCTTGCATCCTCCCTTTGCTCCCTAAGGGCACCAAGGGCTCCAAAAAAATTTGACGTGGTTCTTCCAAATCGTGGGGGACCTGTGTCCCTAACCTCCGCAATGAGGCAGGGTGGACTGTAACTGAAAATTTGGAAAGCATGTTCCATTAATGTGGGGTTTGAAAAATTGTTAAATTATTCTAATGTAACCCAGTGTAATTCAGTAAGTTTGGCCATGGCCACTGCTTGTTTAAATATTCACTGTCCATTTACACACACAACTGACATTTAAACACATTACGTATTTGTTATATTTAAATAATGGAAAAAATGACTGAGAAATCTTGGTTGGGTAAGTGTACACCCTCTCATTAAATGCCTTTGTTAATAACATCAAGTATGACCAACTGCCTGCCAACTGACACACAAAGCTAATTAGCCTCCATCTGTGTTCAGCTATAATTATTGAGATTAGTCATGAATAAAGACAGCTGCTCTTGTGAGAATCATTTACAAAGCTGTGCATCTCAAAACAAAATCTCAGTGGGCAACACTGATACTACAGCTGAGGAGTGGGAGGTGACTGTAAACATATCAAAGCCATTCAGTAACGCTTTGCAAACTGTCAGCACCGTCTTTAAGAAGATCAGGGCAGGTGGTTCCATTAAACCAGTGTTAATGTGGGCAGCATATTTTTATGGGAAAGACCCTAATCCCAACATGAGAACCTTAACTCCTAACCAGCTCTAACCTTAACCCAAATACATGTTTGAGTGACAATGATGGGGAAGACTATAATATAGATGGTTACACACTGTTCTGTAGGGACCAGTTAGACAAAAAGGGAGGTGGCGTTGCAGTGTATGTAAAAGGAAACTTGCAGGCAAGGGAGCTCACTGACAAAAATAAAAGTACAGAAGCTACATGGGTAAAACTAGATGCTAAAAACTAAAATCACCTAATTGTCGCTGTTTGTTATAGAGCACGTAATGGAGTTTCAGAGGAAAGCAGAACATTATACAATGATATAAGGATTATGAGTAATAAAAATGATGTGGTAGTTATGGGTGATTTTAATTTACCTGGGTTACAGAGGGACAGAGTGTCCGGCTCTTCTGTAAAAGAACTTGAGATGGTGGAATTAGTACAAGATTGTTTTTTTACTCAGTTTGTTAATACTCCTACCAGGGGAGAAGCCCTTCTTGATCTTGTTTTCTCTAATAACCAGGATAGGATTGGAAAATTAGAGGTTTTAGGACCATTGGACAGTAGTAATCATAACATGGTTAAATTGGAGGTTAATTTTAGTGCCCGAAGTGCAAAGTGCCAAACAAAGACATACAATGTTAAGAAGGCTAACTTTAATGGTGTGAGACTGAAACTGGAAACTGTACACTGGATGGAGTTAAATAGCAAAATTGTTGAAGAGGCATGGGAATTTTTAAAGCACATTGTTGCAAGTGCAAGAGGACTCCATACCTGTTTCCAGCAAAGCTAAATCTAGGAAACCGCAACCAAGGTGGTTTACTACGGAAATTAAGAATAAAGTCAGGAGGAAAAGGGCTCTGTTCCACAAATGGAAAATAACTAATGATGTTGAAATAAAGCAGGAGTATCTAAGTCTACTGCTTGAGTTAAAAAATAGTATTAGATGCTCTCGCCAGTGTGGGGAAGTAACTAAAAAGGCCAATAGGAGATTGGGTTACATCTCTAGATGTGCATTGTGTAAGTCAAGGGAGGTGATGCTAATTCCTTGGTAAGACCCCACTTAGAATACTGTGTGCAGGTTTGGTCACCATACTTTAAAAAGCACATTGCTGCCTTGGAAAGGGTTCAATGTAGGGCTACAAGAATGATTCCTGGTCTTAGAGGAATGTCTTATGAGGAGAGGTGAATCTGTTCTGCCTCAAGCAAAGGAGACTAAGGGGGGACATGATCCAGGTATATAAGACTATAACAGGTCTGGATGCTGTTCAACATATAGTTACTTCAAATACAAGAACTTGTGGCCATAGGTGGAAATTAGCGGGAGAACATTTTAAAATTGATTTGAGAAAGCACTTCTTTACACAGCGTGCAGTTAGAGTATGGAATAGTCTTCCTGTTAGTGTAGCGCAAGCTAAAACCCTGGGTTCCTTTAAATCAGAGCTAGATAAGATTTTAATAACTGACATAACATGAACTTTTCAAACACACCAAAAGAAAAATCAATCCTTTTTTCTATTCGTTTCATTGTGTTTCAGGTTTGTGGGGTTTATCCCGGTTATTTCCGCTCCACACGGCTTCCACTGAGTCTTGTATTCTTTCACATCAAATGTGAAATTTATCCATTTATTCGTATGTTTTTTCCTACCTAAAGCCGACTGTGGCACAGACCAGACTTGGCAGTATCGTCCAGGCTGTCATACGGTCCAGAGAAAATTCAGCAAGTTGGGAGGGTGTTCCCATGATAGAAGTTAGTCATGCCTAGCACAGACATAAGAAATTTGCAGACAAACTTTAGAGACGGAACTGCATGATATATGAAGCCTGTTAGATCAATATTATCTAATCACACCCAGCTACAATTAGCACAAACTAAAGAAACTACTTTTGATTGGATCCGTTTCAAATTTGTCTCCTCCTGACATTTTTGTCTCATTTTTACTCATTGAAGTTATTAGTACATTTCACTGTCATTTTTGGCATCATAAATGATTTTTTATTTTATTGTCTTCTCAATTTAATCAGTTAAAATATTGTTGACAATTTTTATCGTTTCCGTCAATGAAAATAACACTGTATCAAAACGGATGGCAGGACTAATCAGAGATTCTGCCAAATTCAAATTGGCTGCAGCAATATAATTTACACCAATAAAATTTACACCGATATAATTTACACCAATATAATTTACACCGATATAATTTACACCAATATCACAAGCTGTTGGCTGTACAGTAAGTAGGAAATCTGGAGGCATTAGAAAAGTTTTGAGGAAACCAAGATACAAAACATCTTGGCCTCAGTTCCAGACGTTATGCATAAGAAGGACATCACAACAATGTACAAAGAACACCTTTCCCACTGCGGAGCTCTATGGAGACTGCACCTTTTTATAGCGGTGCATCTTTTCATTTTCAGATCCAAAAACAACTAATTTGAGACCTAAGATCAGTCTCATAGAAAACCTGTTTGTCACAGTTTTGTTAAGGGATAAATGAGGGTTTGATTCTAATGGCGATTGGGCATGCTATGCATTTTAAAATAATTACATCACTTCTGGATGAAGCTAACGGGAACCAAGATAAACAGTGAAGTGAATTCTAATTATTATTTCTGAATAAACTCATAATAAGTGCTGCTTAAGGCCCGGGTCACTGATCTTGCCGGCTGCTGTATTTCAGCTCATCACCCCCCATGCCATCCGAGTTCAGACCCCCCCGCGGCACATCCCAGGAGTGGTGGAGGTTACACTGTCCTACAAGTCCAAGCAGTTCTGTAAAGGTGCCCCAGGACGCTTTGTCTACACAGGTAGGCACATAGGGTTAGTCCTGCTGGGCTTCTCTCTGTTTTCTGACGGCAACAGTAATACCTCTGGGACCAATTTATCAAGATGACTGTTCACTTTGTTCAAAATAAAAGAAATGGTTGTCATTCAAACCATAAGCTTTACCTTCTTCATGTACTTTTTCCTTGAAATGTGTGACTCAGGCACATCTCTGCACTTAGAATACCTTCATGTGTTTATTCTTATTGCTTTCATGTAATTAAAGTAGAAAGTGGATAACATTTCTGATGTATGAAACTGTACATTTATATCAAGTGTGACACACCACAGCACTTAACAAAGAAATGTGTCCCCTGCATTTATCCCGTATGTGACATAGCAGGGGGCAGTTAATTCAGCACTCGGGGGACAGTGCTTGGGGGTGGTACTGTACCTTGCTCAGGGTACCTCATTAATACTTTGTTGGTCGGGCATTCGAACCAACAACCTTTCAATCACAAATACACTTCCCTACCCATTAGGCCCCAACCATTCGAACAAAACCTGCCCACTAAAAGCTCTCTCTCATTAAACATGGCTAGATACTTATTGACTCTTTACTATGCAGTTCTAAGTGTCTTACTCCATTTATTGAAATCATGACTCTATCAGCACTACATTTAGTAAATGACTAGAATAAATGCATTTTATCGTGGTTTAACATAGTGATTGTGTTATTAAACAGGAATAGGAACATTTTTACCCAAGGTCATGCTGCGCTGTGGGGACTTTACACACGCCCCAATTATCACACATCTAAATATTGTATTCCCCAGTCAGAGCCCATTGTTATATTTAACAGACAAGAGTATTTAATTGTTTAAATTAACTTTAAATTGATTTAACTAATTCTATTGGGGGAATATTGCAAGGAAAATGGAAATTGTGTGTTCTTTTACAAATTTATTTTGGGAGATATTATTTTTCAGCCTAAAGACAACAGATATGCACGTAATATGTACTCCATAGTTGGTGACAAAAAAATAAAATATATAAATAATATGATAAAATAGTTGCAGGACGCCTCCGGTAAGCTGACTGATGATGGGTAAAAAGGGATGCTTCACAAAGGATTCCTTTGATCATACCAAAACCTTATTTTCCTGTTGTAGCTGGTTGATATCATCACATGCTCTACACGGTGTGTTCATTTCCTGTTGGGCTTCCATTGTTTTATATGATAAACATTCACGCAGGCACAGCTGAGGTCTGCAAACCCCCTTCATAATGCATCCCTCCCCAAGCTGCTTGCTCCACTCACACTTTCACTTTCCTCACATACTCCTCTTACTGTGGCCCTACTCCGTTCTTACATGACCAGATCTAGGCCCCTTTTCCTAGTTCATAAATACTCCTTTCATCACCATTACCCTCCTCAGGGGGGTGCCCTGAGTAGCTCAGCGTCTCCAGTATAACGCGATCGGCAAATTGTACCGATTAAAATATACCAAGGGGAACCCCCCCCCTGTTAGAATATTACCGCATTGCCACCCTAGAAAACTCATTTGATCCAGTCTGTGTACTGCCTCTCCTCATGCAGATTTTACATGCCCTCCTCGTACCCTTACACCTTCCCCAGTGGGCTTGTCTTCTAAGCTGGCTCAGATATTTATGGGCAAGTTAATGAGAATAGCCAGGAGTTATTGACTGTGCAGGGAAGACAGAGAATCTCTGAAAATCAGGGTCTGCAAAAACGCAGAGCTGCAATAACTGCGATTGAGCCCTTATTCTAGATTCACATCGATCTGCTCTGCATTAGCTCACAGAACATTTTTTAGCAGGTGATGATGTTTCCCAATCTCAGCTCATCTATTACACTTAAATGGCATTAGATCTGTTTTTAGATGTTTGTATTCTTTGCTGTTGTTAATAATAAAATGGGCTTATTCAAAATCACTCCCTATTACGATGTAGTGCAGTACAGTAAATAATGTGTCCAGCGGCAAATGTGGCTCATTATATAGTGTACAATAAAATTACCATAATTGCATTGTACAGACCATGTACCATAATGTGCCTAAATGTGAAGGCTATGTCTTGTAAGCGGACAATGGTGGAAAAGGGAGAATTTTAAGCACATAGAAAAATTTAATTTTTCATTTAAGATAAATTATAAGTTATGTAAAGGTTGTAGCTGTTGTATGTATGTTACGGCTGTATTTTGCTGCTTGCAAATGTCAGCTGTCAAAGTTTGCTTGGATACCAACATAGAGCTTCTTGAAAAGTGCCTTAAACAGTTGTCTTTCTCATTGATTATTTCCCTGTAGTGTGAACAACAGATATTTCACTATAACGGGAATAGTGAGCAAATCAACCTTTTTGGACTTGGCCATATAATTGATTTAGAAATTATACACCATGCAGCCAACTGTGAGATGGTCCTTTATTCACAAGCTGCACAAATGCACTTTTCTTCTTCCATCATGCTTTGCTTTGAGACATAGAGAAATATACACAGTGGAGAGCAAAGCTTGAATCTGAATACAGGGCCAGGCCATTTATCCAGTTTCTCTGGGGCATTTTGCGAGGGCATTTGCTGTTTGCTGTCCTCTTATAAATGTTAAGCATTATTGCTAAAGTGGTCAAGCACACTTTTTATTCTTAATGTCCTTAATGTAGACAAAATTCCTCTTTATTTTTGGTGTAAGTGCTGGGCTCTGTCTCACCCCACTATAGTGACTGGTCAGGCCTAGTACAGCCTCTACATAACCCCACTAAAGCCTTACTTTGAACGACAGCCACGCCATCTTCATTGTGAGTTTTATCAATGCGGATCACTAGACCTCCAGCTGAGCCTATAGCCATTCTGCTCTCCTCTCAGCCTACACCCATGGGATTGCACGCGGTCCCCCAAGGAGCCGTCACTGTCATGACAGTGATGAGGTGTAGCGTACCTCTGTGATTAGAGACCTCATCAGCCTCACTTGTGCATATCGGCCACTCACTTGTGTTATATGCCTGACAGTTAATTGTGTCTTTTGCTTTGATAAGCTGCTTTAAAAATCTAGGGCATGTACCTCAGTTGATTAAAGTGGGACCTTTTCTTTAATATCCCAAATTTGGACTTGAACATTTTCCTTCTCTGAAATCGGTTTCATTGACACTGAAAATTTTACGCAATGCAATTTTATTCAGTACTTCTATCCAAAGTACTTTTATATTTCACATTTATAATGAATGGGGTATTTTACTGGTGTATTTCAGGTTAAGTACTGTCAAACTGCTTCTGCAAGTAAAGTGCATTTCGTTGGCCAGTTATCTAGCAATTAAATAGTAGAACGGTTCTGAAACCGGAACCATGATATCCACCCCAACCCAAAATAATTTCAAGTTAGGCCAGACTGTATGTTTTGTAAATATTACACCTGCACCTGGCCATTGTGTCCAAATGATTCTAAATGAGAAATTTTTAAATGCCCCCCTCCCATGAAAACACTCTGCACAGCACTGCAACTATTTATGTGTCAGTGGAAGCCAGAAATGGGAATTTCTGAAAGCAAAGAAAGTATGTTTTTGTTTTAAGGCTACCAGGTTAAGAGTATACCAACTGGTTAAGGTTAACATGTAAGGTTAACAGATTAAGGCTGACAGGTTAAGAGAATACCAAGTGGTCTGCTTTGACCTTTTGCTCTTGTTTGTTCTACATGTACTGTAGGTGTGCTATAACCTTAATGTACCGTCAATGACTAAGTGCTATAGAGGAACTTAGAGCAGAGGTTTTGACAGTGTTCATAGAAAACAAAAGTAAAAATGCCAAGCTATTGAGTAATCCAGTGCAGTTACAAACAATCTTAAATGCCTCTTAACTGAAGAAATAACAAAATTAGATGGCAAAAGTAATGCAAAAATACGAAAACTCCTACAAGCAAAAACCTGAATCAATCACATGTAACCCAGGACATGATCCCATTCAAACACAATGCATTTCAACAATACTAAATAATATAAATAATTCCTCATCACATGGAAATGGATTGATGGATCAAATGTGGGGTTTATTCTAGTCCTGATGGCATACAGTCCCTCCAGACTAATATGATTATTTTCCACTATGAATTGTACGCTACAAACCATTAAAAATTATTCAAAGAAATCTCTCTCATTGGCTTACTCATCTGCCCTCGTTTTTCTGCCCACACCTTTCAAAAGGGAAGTACAAAAAACAGGACATTCTAACTTCAACCAGAGGGCATTGTTGAGTAAATAGGGTTGAGCAACTCACAGCTTAACACATCAGATACACTCTGACACAATACAGAAGAATCAATGGACACATAATTTAACCTGGAAGGGTTTTCTATCACTAAACTATATGGTGAACCTGTAATGTTTATGAAAGAGTTTATATAGCACAGAAACATTTTCAAAAGCCTTGCAGTAGCATTTGAAATCATGTAATCATTGAATTATTAGGAAAAGCAATTCTGTTTTATATTGAAAATACCTGCAGTCTATTTGGCACCCTTTAATTAAAGTACATACAATGTATTCTAGCTGAACAAGAACCAGGTTCTTGAAGGAAGATTAATAAATAATATAAAGTATAAAGACCTTTATGAAAACCTGTTAAAAGAATATTTGTACCAAAACAGTACCATATTTATATTTGCAGTGTATTGGCAAGCATAAAGTGGTTTGCATGCGGAGGACTTTATATTAGGCTAATTTATTTGTTTCCGTTTGTATTGCCTTGGTTCTGTCTCTCTTTGGGTGTCCTACTGTCCCATAACTGCAGACACATCCACTGTAATTTAAGCTCCCGCCTCTTTAAACACGATTTATTGCCTTTTCATTTCATTTATGTCTTTCCATGGGAAGGGAGAGGAGTTAAATTAAGAGTAGAGAGATTTACATTACATTTGACTGCATTCTGATGCTTGTGTTTAAGATCAATATGAAAAAATGCAAAAACTAAACAGCAAGATAGAACTAATTAACTTATTGAAACACATATACATGTATAGCCACATACTGTAGCAAACCAAAATGACTCTTCAGAAAATATGGTCCCTTATGTCATTTTCTAAGTTTATGCTATATATGCTGATCAATGATGTCTACATCCCAAAAATAATTATTGGAAGTAATTCTCATTTATATCTGCTGTTATTATAATGCCCATATTAAATGTGCTTACCTTTTCCCCCATGCCTTTTCTAGCACTAAATGAACCAACTATTGACTATGGCTTCCAAAGGCTACAGAAAGTCATCCCAAGACATCCAGGAGACCCTGAGAGGTTACCCAAGGTATGTCTCAAGTGAAGGCACTCTCATCAGTTACTTTACATAAGGACCACTAGGGCTCTACTCACATTCTATCTATTTATGAATAAATAATATCAGCAGTTTTCATCTTAGCTTCTGATTAGCCCACAAGTTGACAGAGACTAGTAACTGTCATCTTCCAGTAAGGGTTTTTCACAAAATGCAGACTGTGACATCCAGGTTCTGGGGTTTCTCTACCTTAAGCTTCCACAGAGTTGTGTCAGCCCAGGCTGATGGCTCTGCGGCTGGAGTTTTTCCTGGTCGACAAGAAGGTTGTCTCAATGTGACTCTCACTGTTGCGTGTGCTTATGCTCTAAAAGACAGTTTGTGACAGATAGAGTGAATGAGGTGCTCTGAAAGAGAGCGACCGGGAAGAATGACCTCCCACGTCTAAACCTGAGGGGTGAATTATTATTGGACTTAATAATGCTCATAAGTGGTACAGGCAGTCCTGGCTTAAGAATGTCCGGCTTATGGACAACTCGTACTTACAAATGGACTGCCATGACACCTATTATATTAAAAATTCATGTTAAATACAATGGTTTGGAATAAGAAACTCACACTCTACTTTGTGACACTATGTAAAACATTGCCCAGCTTCAGCGGTTTGTCAGCCTGAGGTACAATACAGTACTGTAGGTGGTTATGCTTATTATTATTATTATTATTATTATTATACAGTGGTACCTCAGTTCTCGAACTCATTAGAACTAGAATTTCTTAAAAGTCGAGCCAACCAATTCGAAAAAAAATTACCTAGAACTCGATCTGAATCTCAGAAGTCGAATCGTGAACGCCGACCTAAGATAACTTGTACGCATGGGGAAATGAGTCACGCGGCACGTCTCTCAGCGGATACAAAAGGGTAACGCTTCAGTCTCATATATTTAGGCAGTAAAAATACATTTAGACAATGATAGACAGTAACAGTAACTATTATTATGTAATAAAATACATTTAAAAATAAATATTTCTTAATTATTTTAATATTAATAATAACCATTAATAAATTTAATTATGATAATATTGTCGTGCCCAACGGGGACGCAACGGAGACAAAGGCGCAGACGTCAGGGTTTCGGGGAATACGGGGTTTAATTACATGCAAGGCAGGCAAAACGCAGACGGACAATACAATAACCAGACTGGGGAAACAAACTGAAAGGCGGACGAAATACAGAAGACTAATGACAACAAGCAGAAACAGCTGATCACATGGGGATTCCACACGGGGTTAACAAGGGGGCGTGGCACACATAAGGAGTGGACAATCGGGGCAGGACACATTGTTTTTTTTTTACTTTACACATTGTTTGGATACATTTATTTTCTTACTTTAAAAATTACTGTTTTAATAAATGTGCTTAGATGTGTTTAGTACAGTGTATGCTTTTCTTGTTCTGTCCGGTTCATTTAGCATCTAAATGCTAAAAAAACATATTTCGGTGTAATTTTTTGGGGCCGGGGACCAATTAATTGGTTTTCCATTATTTCTTATGGGGGAAATTCGATCAGAACTCAAACTTTTTAGGATTCGGACCGTAGTTCTGAACGGCTTAATTTAGAGTTCTGAGGTACCACTGTATACTGTATCATTATTTTCTGACTTACCTACAAATTTATTTAAAGACAGACTTAAGGAATGGATCTTGTTCTCAACCACAGGGCTACCTGTATCAGATCAGTCGAGGGCAATGGAAGGTATTTAGTTACATCAGAGTGTATGTTTGGACCGCTGGACCGGGCAGAGCCCGCAAATAATCACCACTTAATGGTGAGTTGAATTTTGTACATTGGGGGGAGGGGGGGGGGCTAGATGGATCATGATGACATATATAAGCGGGGAATGTCTGGCAGAAGCTTCTGTGCTAGATGGATTCAACTCCCACCTCTGTTAGAAGGTCAACATCATTGAGGCTGAATGCACCATGATCAAGGTCCTCCTATCCCATCCAGAGATGTCAAAGCTGTGGATGCCGATGGTGACGCGGTGGATATGTATTATTAATGTTGAATAGGTAGTGGGTAAGGTACCTGTGGACTGAGGAAACACATGGTATATTCCAGTTAAAGGGGAGGTCACAATAATTTGTCAGCCTGTCTGGGAGAGCCTATGCCAGTATACTGGAGAGAAGATGTAGCCAATAGTTTAACTGAGGTTTCAAGAAGAACAACAAGGATTCCTGCTGGATTGCAGAACAATAGACCAACGTTGTTCCCATGTATAGATGTATGAGGTTTTGGAGGATTATGCATTGAGGAGGTTCACGCTGGGAACCAAATCCAGACCTGTACTATACTTGTCAATCTCCTGTCACCCCATGATAAGGTGTCATGAAAATGAGATTTCTCCTGGGGGGCATGGACTAACAGGGTGAGGAGGATAAAGATGCTGCAGGCATTCTGCACTGGACAGAGGCCTCAGGGATGACCCAGAACATGCTGCAGGGATCATACAGACATGGGCAAAAGTATTGATACCATTATATTTTTTAAAGAAGAATCACAACTTTCACAATAAAAAAAGCAAAGTGGATGTGTTATGGTATAAATGATGGTGGATGGCAAATTTGAGATTCCTTTTTAAGAAGTAGAAGGATTTTACAGCTTTTGGCCGTGTCTGTTCTTCCCAGTTGCCCTCGGAACATCCTGGAATCTCCCAGAATGAGGTGGTGTCTGTGACCATGAAAAATGACATCTGGTCTGACCTGCTTAGCATACTGCCATTGTGACCATCACGAGGAAAAGTAATGAGAAGCTGAAGATGATGACTACATCTCATCTTCTTAGCTAGAAATGCAGAACTATTTGCGACATCCTCTGCTTATGCCAAAATATGTTTTTCTGGTCTGTTTTTTAACTTGTATCTGCCGTCAAAATGCAGCTAGCATTCTTTGAAGCTTTGGAAACAGAAATAATTCACATGCAGTGAAAGCAAATGCAGTGCACGTTCCATATGCCCAGATGCACACATCCTTTCTCTTGCGCAAAAATAAACACTCACGTTCTTGCCAATCCATACCCTGTTCACCCTTGGCAATTTGTTACCTAGTTAGTATGAAAGGAATATTGTCACCTGAAAAGGTGTGGCGATTAAATGACTGAGATTCCTTTGGGTAGGCAGCTACTGCAGGGTAGGAATCTAGTCAGTTGGGGTGTGACAGGCTTAAACAGTGCCCATGTTTGACCCACTTTTCAGAGGTGTAGAAATCAGTCATCAGTGACTACTGATGTATGGATTAGATAGATAGATAGATAGATAGATAGATAGATAGATAGATAGATAGATAGATAAAACACACGAGGATAGAATAAAACGCAAGGATTGCAGATGCAGTTACACTGTAATCCCATGCAAACCACATTTGATAATTTTTTTCTATCTGGAATTTTCTGTCTATTATATTAATAATAGACACTGTGGTTTAATTCTGCACTGCTATTGTAAAAGACCATATCTGGCTCTCTGTAGAGCTTGGGGGTCGCAGTGTAGGGTCAGTAAACATGTACTGGGACTGGGGTTTTCTGCCAAGACCGGGGCTCTAACCGGTGATCTTCCAGTCATGGGCACAGAGACTTAGACCGCTGGGCTGCTCACCAGCCCCAGCAGCAGGGGACGTAGACTTGTAAGCCTCCCTGGGAAAGCCTACGCCAGAGTCCCAGACAGGGCAACCTAGGATTCCAGAGGGATGATGCAGATTCCAGGCTGGTCGTGTAGCAAAGCTGTGCTAACATATGAAACAGGTGCTTTGAGAAGGTATATGATGTAGGACAGGGACGCCCAACCTTTTTTAACTCAAGATCTACTTTTCAGGTGGCCAGTGTGCCGAGATATACCAGTTCAAATAGGGAGCCATAGCTATTATTCTTTTACTCTTTTATTACTCTAGCAATAGCCTTTTGACATAGTTAACAAGCACATAGCAAATCCAGGTAATTTTCCAAATAAAAAAGTGTAAAAAGTATAAATAAATATATTTCTCTACCTTAGTGGGACCACTGCCACTGGGACGATGCAGTTGCATTACAGTCACATTGCATATAAGACAAAAAATAATCCTGATTTCACGCTGAATAAAAATGATATGTTTTTGATCTTTTGGCTTCTGCCATGTTTGCGCACAAAATTTTTACAGTACACGATCAGTTGCACACTGAAAAATGGGCGCTTCGTGCACAAGTGCACGGGCGCTTGCGACGCACTTCGCGATTGATTGAGAATTATTCTGCGATCGACCGGTCGATCGCGATTGACTGTTCGGGCACCCCTGATGTAGGAGGTGCTGCACGATTTGGGTTACAGCAGCTGCTACTGAGTGCTTTTTGAGCGCTGTACCAATGTGGTATGAGCTGTGTCTGTATACTTGGCACAGAACTGCAGCTGATTGGTGCGGGTCTTGGCCTGTATCCTGGGCATGGGGGGGCTAGACACGAGACTCCTGATAATACCAACCTTCAAATCCGAGGCTGTGGTGCTCCCTCAGACAGAGCGAATCGGGAGAGTGCACAAGTGGTTTGGTGACTGCAGTTTTGTGGTTAATGAGGAGGTCCACGGTGGTAATCGGCAGTTCAGTATTCAGAAGAAGCTCACAGTTTACCGGTCAGTCCACCTCCCAGTCCTCTCCTATGCTCATGAGCTGTGGGTAATGAACAATGACAAAATAATAAGGTCGCAGATACAGCAGCCAAAATTAGGTTTTTCCACAGGGTTGCTGGGCTTACTCTCCGTGACAGGGTGAGGAGTTCACAGTTCTGGACCTCAAAATAGAGCAAATGCACTAATAGATTAAGAGGAGGTTTGGGCATCTTATAGGGATGCCATGTACTGGGCGCAAAAGGAGCTGTTTTGGGCACATCTCACTGGGTAGAGGCCCCAGGACACCCCGGAGGGACTGTATCACCTGCGTGAAACTGGCACCCCATGTGTCTCAGATTTAACTAGTTCAAGAACTAAAGCAGCACAAATGAAAATCTCAACA